TTCTTTGTTGAGATTTACAGTGCGTACATTTTCCTTTAGATGTACCAAAAACCATAGAATAGGAGGTCAAACCTAAACACTACCTTCAATTTGTATCCAATCAGACAAGCCCTTGCACTATATAGTTGAAGGTAAATCTAAAGATTTTACAGAAATTTTTAAAGAAAATTGTGTAATGTATGGCCAGCCATTGACAACACAGCATTTTTTTGGATTGAGTGGCGTCTGCCCTCTTAGTTGTCTTTTGCTAAATTATTCAACCACTCCCATCGTCATCATCTCTACAACCTAATTATTCTGTAGTTCAAGATAAGAACTAAGGGGGATAATTGTTACATAGTTAGTCTGGCTGAAAAAAGACAAAAGTCCATCCAGTTCAACCATTAAAAAAAAAAAAGTTATAATCCTACACCCACGGTTGATCCAGAGGATGGCAAAAAAAACAGCAAAGCATGATCCCATTTGCACCTGCAGGGGGAAAAATTCCTCCCTGATCCTTAATTCGTTCCCTTTCAATTGTGTATTTAAAGTAGAACTATAGGCAATTTTTTGTTTTTTGATAGAGCAAGGGAGGGCTATACCCCCTGTCGGTTTATTCCTTGCCATATTTGTCCCATTGTGGAGATTTCCCTTCACTTCCTGTTCCATAGCCAAAACAGAAACTGAGAGGCAATCCCTGCAAATTAAGGGAATTCCTTGGGGACCCCCATGTCTCCAGAAATAGTGGCCCCATTGGAAGAAATCTCCTCTGTTACTTTTTTGGGGACAACCCAAAATTTGGGGTTTTCTTTTACTTTCACTTTCAATGATAGGGGTGAATGAGGGTGAATCTCTTTAACGGGGCACAAACAGCAATACCTGACAGGTGTTGCTAATCCCTCTCCCCTCTATCCAAAAAAAAAACCCAAAAAGTTTTGCCTTTAGTTATACTTGAACAGACCGAAAGGGAACAAATAGGAAAAGTTAATTGCTGGGTTCACATAAACTTTAGCTGGTGCGACTTATAATGCAACTTAACAAATCAAAGTCACATAACATGTCTGACCCTATTTGCTGCTATGAAACCATTCAAACTGGTGCGACTCAAGCTGCAGTGACTTTCAAAAGGGTTTCTGCACTATTTTTGTGCGATTTCATATGCAGCTTGCATTGACATCTGTGTAACGAAGTCACACAGATGTCGGCAAGCCACACATGAAGTTGCATTGATCGGTGGCTTTGAAATTGCGCTGAAGTAGTGCGACCTCCAAGCCGGATCCGTGTGAACCAGGGCTAAGAATGTAATTGAAGGCAGGCCAATATGAACTATTGAGCTCTTTCACATCATCCCAGGACTCCAAATCCTGCTGGTTGAACAAAAAACTAACAAATGTATAAAATTCTTCATTTGCTGCACTCATACCTATTTAACTTTATGCCTTGTCCCGCTGCTATTCTATTCCAACTCTCAGTAATTTGAACCAGGGGTGGGAGAGAGGGATTGACTTCTCAGCTGAAAAATGTTTGGAATATTCAATGTGAATGAAGATTTCTTTAGTCACTAGTTGTAGTAACTCAGATACACTAATATACCAATTTCCATTGGTGACCCTAAATGATATCCTTATTCAAAAGTAATCCATACATATCCACTATTTAATCGCCCTGTATTCCTTTTTTCATGAAATTGTTTCTTATTATGTTTTTCTGCCTTCTTTTAATGTCCTTTTGAGCTCCTGAACCTCTCTTTTTCCCCTCTTCCTTCCATTTGTTTGTAACAAGCAGTGCATGTTAGTTGGTCATGTGCACTGCTCTATGCACAATTCACTTGGGAGTGAACAAGAGAAGGCAGCTATGTCTCTACATACAGTGGGCCAAGTAGAACAAATGTGGCCACCCGATAACATGAAGTCAGATCACAGCAGAAAAAAAAGAATATGGAGATCCGGAGAAAGGGACTATTGTAACTCCCTTCTCATTGGCCTACCTATTCACAGGCTATCCCCTCTTCAGTCTATCATGAATGCTGCTGCCAGACTCATCCACTTTACTAACCATTGCATATCTGCCAATCCCTCCACTGGCTTCCCATTGCCCAACGAAAAAAATTAAAAACATTAATAATCACATATAAAGCCATTTATAACTCTGCCGCAAATTACATCACCAATCTTGTCTCCAAATATCACCCAAACTGTCCTCTCTCCGCTCCTCCCACGACCTCCTGCTCTAGCTCCCTTGTCTCCTCCTCCCATGCTTGTCTCCAGGACTTCTCCAGAGCCTCCACCATCCTTTGGAACTCTCTTCCTCAATCTATCAGACTATCGCCTACTCTGCCCACTTTTAGGCGATCTCTGAAAACCTATCTCATCAGGGAAGCCTATCCTGCCCTCAGCTATTAACAGCCCCTTCCTCTTAGATTGTAAGCTCCAAGAAGCAACCCTGATAACCCTCTTGTATTGAACTGTATTGTTGCTGTATTGTCTCCCATTATATTGTAAAGCACTGAGCAAACTGTTGGCGCTAAATAAATCCTGTATAATAATAATTATATATATATATTTATTTATTTATTTTTTACTCAGAATTTAGTACAACTTTAAAGTAGTCTATACCATAACCTTCTCATGTTTTGGCTTGAGAAAGAGGCAGGGCAGCCTCGAAACCTGTTGCCACACCCCCTTAGTGATGTTTCAAGGATGTATGAAAAACTAACGAATGTATGAAACTCTTCATTTGCCGCACTCATACCTAATTAACTTTATACCTTGTCCCGCTATTCTACTCCAACTCTCAATAATTTGAACCAAGGGTGGGAGAGAGGGACTGACTTCTCAGCTGAAAAATGGACGACCTTGCTAGCATTCTTTCTCTCTATGCTTCCAAACCCAACCCCTTTCTTCTAAACTGACCAATCCTATTCCATGTAACATTAACCCTACCTCTACTGAAGCATGTGACATCGTGGCACCATTCAGAAGCTGAATGTTGGAGAAATCACCTCACTGGCAGATGCAGGGGAGCAGTGTCCCGGTTTCAGTTTAGTCGCTTACATAGAAGGAGAAGAAGGGGAGACTCCGCTCTCACCACCTGTGCAGTTCCCTGTGTAGAGGATGGCCTCAGCCATCACACCGGCCACACCCTCTGATGCGTTTGCCCCGCCCATCAGGGCTTGATCACAGAACCCTACCTTGTTTTTTCCAGCAGCCCACCCAAGTCATGTACCCCTTTTCTTTATTTTGCACAGTTTGGGGTATTCTGAAGAGGTGTGCCTGAGCTCCATTGGAATTATAGCAAAATATTGATCACCCTGTTTAACCCCTTAACACCTACCATACTTGTACATGTTTACTGTTTTCAATCAGGAGCTGGTGGGGCAGGACAATCAGAGTGATGCATGACTGGAAGCATATGTAATGTCTCTGGCGTTACAAACTTTTAAAGGATAGCTCCTGCCAGCTGGAAAGAGTTAAAGAAAATCTATAAATATCATTTGTATTTCACAGGTCTGTCCCCTATGGAACAAAGTACATATATTACATTTTGTCCCATGTTCCTAGGTGCTTTCTAACCCTAGTTATGAGGTACGACCTTCTTCCCTTCCCTTTCGTGCTGTGGCCGACCTGACAACAGCAATGAAGGAGATGGCTGATTGATAGCTGCAGCCTGTCTAGGCTGTGAGCACTTTCCAGAAACAAGCAAGGGCAAGAGGAATGCAGAGGTTGACATGTCCCTCCTCCCTCCACATTCCTCTTGCCATTGCTTGTCTTGGGAAAGTGTTGACAGCTGAGACAAGCTGCAGTTATGAATCAGTTGTCACCTTAATAGCTGTTGTTTGAATGGCAGCGGCAGGTGAAGAGTGCTGGACCTCATTACTAGGGTTAGAAAGCACCTAGCAACATGGGACAAAATACTACTCTCCTGGGGACTAGTGAACATGGCCATTCACATTTTGCGAATTTTTAAAATGGCATGCTTTCATGCACAGCATGTTAATAAAATATTGTATTCAACATACAGTATGTAAGCAGCCGTTCAAATTTTATCAGCTCTTTAACCCACTTAAAATTCTTTCTTGAATGCTAGTTTTTTTTTTTTGCTAAGATAAAACTGGAATTGTGATGAAGTGATTCATGCAAAACGCTTAACTTTCTCTCACATAAAATTCAGGATTTTGTTTTTGTACTTAAAACTCACCAAGTGCCTCTATCAACAAACAACTTTTTATAGGTAGGACAACGAAAAGATTGGAATGTCATATTTTACTTCCGCTTTATGAGGTTGATAATTGAAATGGCTTTTATGGCTGTGAGATCATTATATTCTGATTATGTGTCAGTGTAACTTAATGAAGGAGAAAAGGTTATTGTCAACACTTGCTAGATGTTTGGAATATTCAATGTGAATGAAGATTTCTTTAGTTACTAGTTGTAGTAACTCGAATACACTAATATACCAATTTCCATTGGTGACCCTAAATGATATCCTTATTCAAAAGTAATCCAAACATATCCACTATTTAATTGCCCTGTATTCTATTTTTCATTAAATTGTTTCTTACTGTGTTTTTCTGCCTTCTTGTAATGTCCTTGTGAGCTCCCAAACCTCTCTTTTTCCCCTCTTCCTTCCATTTGTTTGTAACAAGCAGTGCATGTTAGTTGTGGTCATATGAACTGCTCTATGCACAATACAAGTCCCAGTCCCGGTGATGTCTCTACATACAGTGGGCCAAGTAGAACAAATGTGGCCACCTGATAACATGAAGTCAGATCACAGCAGCAAAAAAAATAAAATATAGAATATGGAGATTCGGAGGAGGCTGAGAGCAACAGAAGGGACTTTTATGTTAAGAATGCATACCTAAAAAAAATGTATATATAGAAAGAGAGAAAGGGAGAGAATGAATGATGAAAGACAGAATAATGAGAGAGAGAGAGAGAGAGAGAGAGAGAGAGAGAGAGAGAGAGTTTAGTACGAATTTAAAGTACCATATTTTTTGCTCCATAAGACGCACCTAGGTTTTAGAGGCGGAAAACAAGAAAAATAATATTCTGAACCAATGGACTGCAGACACAGTACAGGAGATGACCAGAGACTGCAGACACAGTACAGGAAATGACCAGAGACTGCAGACATAGTACAGGAGATGACCAGAGACTGCGGACACAGTACAGGAGATGACCAGAGACTGCGGACACAGTACAGGAGATGATCAGAGACTACGGACAGTACAGGAGACGACCAGAGACTGCAGACATAGTACAGGAGATGACCAGAGACTACGGACAGTACAGGAGATGACCAGAGACTGCGGACACAGTACAGGAGATGACCAGAGACTGCAGTCACAGTACAGGAGATGACCAGAGACTGCAGACACAGTACAGGAGATGACCAGAGACTGCAGACACAGTACAGGAGATGACCAGAGACTGCAGACACAGTACAGGAGATGACCAGAGACTGCGGACACAGTACAGGAGATGACCAGAGACTGCGGACAGTACAGAAGATGACCAGAGACTGTGGACAGTACAGGAGATGAGCAGAGACTGCGGACACAGTACAGGGGATGACCAGAGACTGCGGACAGTACAGGAGATGACCAGAGACTGCGGACAGTACAGGAGATGAGCAGAGACTGTGGACAGTACAGGAGATGACCAGAGACTGCGGACAGTATAGGAGATGAGCAGAGACTGTGGACAGTATAGGGGATGACCAGAGACTACGCACAGTATAGGGGATGACCAAGAGACTGTGGACAGTATAGGAGAGTACCAGAGACTGCGGACAGTGCAGGAGATGACCAGAGACTGCAGACAGTGCAGGGGATGACCAGAGACTGCGGACAGTGCAGGGGATGACCAGAGACTGCAGACAGTACAGGAGATGACCAGCGACTGCAGACACTACAGGGGATGAACAAGAGACTGGGGAGGGGGAGGGGGAGCGGGTACCTGAATTTGACAGGTACCCACTCCCACGTCCGCGGAGTTGTCTTCCCTTTAGTGTGAGCACCCGGCTGACAGTGCACATGTGCGAGAAGCGCTGCGCTTTGTGATTGGTCCGGTATCTTCTGGGACCTGTCATGTGTCCCAGAAGACGCCGTACCATTCACAAAGCACAGCGCTTCTCGTGCATGCGCACTGGGCACCCGGCTGTCACAGCCGAGAGCCCACACTACAGATGCCGGCGTGGGAAGACTCTACAGCGCTGGACAGAGGAACAGGTAAGGTTCTGCTGCAAAGAAGAGACGAGCGGCCGGCCCGGTATTCTCACACGGCGGCGGTGGTGGGAATACCGGACCGGGCCGCTCCATATTCGCTCCATAAGACGCACTGATATTTCCCCCCCTTTTTGGGGGGAAAAAGGTGCGTCTTATGGAGCGAAAAATACGGTAGTCTATACCATGACTTTCTCAAGTTGTGGCTTGAGAAAGAGGCTGGGCAACCTCAAAACTTGTTGCCACTCCCTCTTAGTGATATTTCAAGAAGTGCTGTCACTTCCTGTCTGCTGTGCACTCCACTGGCCTCACCAGCTACTTCTTGCTTTCCGATTCCATCAGCATCTAGATTTACCAACAAAATAACTGCCAAACTGGGAAAATTTGGGACAGGACACACCTTATACAGATACTATGGTGCTGTGGACCTTGACTTTTTGATATGTACTGATTCTTCCACATATTTGATAGTTGTCTACTGTGTGTGTGTTTACTATGCCTTTATATGCTGCACTTAGCCTGGCGCCCTCTGGTGTTCTCTTAGCCTTATAGTTATACCCGGCTGACAAGTCCTGAACAATTATTCATGGACTGGAATCTGGCTCACTACTGAAATGAGATCTACACCACCCAAGCTTGACTTTGATAAGTGAACCTTTACTGGCTATTTGTGAGTTGGTAATTAGCTATTTTTACTAATAAATGTACCTTGTTTACTACACTCAGATTACACCATTTGCCTGTTTACCTTTTTTAGCATTCTTAGAGATTCTTTAGTCTCATAGAGGCGCTGCACAGTGTTTGGAGGTCAGAAAGACTTCACCCTGGAGCTTCCATTTGAGGACTTTACGTCTTTCCTGTTGAACTTTATACACAAATGCTTTATACATATGCTGACTCAATACTAGTGCACCATAACCACTATCTATCCTTTAGAACAGTGTTTCTCAACCTTTTTTCAGCCAAGGCACTCTTTAAAATTATGAACAGTCCTGAGGCACCCTTTAAACTAATGGACAGTCTTGAGGCACCCCATTTTAGAATGGGATGCCTCAAGACTGTCCATAATATTAAAAGGGCGCCCCATTCTAAAATGTGAAAAACTATTCTAATAGTTTTATATAATGCAGCAACATCCACACATGTAGGACACCCAACATTAGAGGTGATTTATTCTTCCAAAGCAAATACACTTTTGCACACTGGTACTGAGTAGTATTCCAATGTTTCTCTTCTCCCTCAGTTTTTCTCCATCACTGAGCTAATGTGACCCCAGCACTGATGGAGAGGGGCAGGGGAGGGTCAAACTAGTATGCTGTGCAGGCAGCTGACGTCCTCCTTATCAACTGGTGATGTCATTGGTTGTCAGGACACCGGCAGCAAGAAGGACATAAATGGTGCGCAATGAAAACCTGCAACTTTGTGTAAATAAAAGGCAGGCTTGTTCCACCCGCTGGCTTGTATACAGGTTTTGGGCAATTTTTAGACATTTTGCCAAGGCACCCCTGAAGAAACCTCAAGGCACCCCGGGGTTGAGGCTACTTTAGAATACGCAAACCACTTCAAAGTAGCATCAAAGTTGCATTCAAGTTGCACTACATAATCACACTGAAAGTCAAGTCAAAATCAGATTGCAGCAATGTGAACCTAGTCTGACTGAACAGTTTGCTAAAACACTGCGCTTTAGTTTTTTTCTGTTTTTTTTTTCTTTTAAATACTAATTTTATCAATTTTTGCATCACAGTGCTGCTGATCTTCAGCCTATTTCCATGTACAAGCAGTTGCTCTAGTGTCGGACCAACGTCCCTTAGTGACCACAGTGAGCCAAGCTTGTACAATGTGTATCAGTATAGCCACAAGTAGGTTGCACCAGGAGTGTATAGGACAGAGTGACAATGCAGGAATACAGTTTGGAGACAATCCCTTTTTCTTTCTAAGCATTACTACTTCCAGTAAAGTATTCTTGTGTTAATCTTTGCAAGAATAGTGTTGTAATGTGATAGCAAAAGCGCATGGGGGGTATGATAGGGTGTTTGTGTTTGGGTGGGCTTGGGTATGCTTGATCTCTAAAGGTAGACATAATTAGAATTGTTTTTTACATTTCTATTATACTAAATCTTGGGTGCATCATCTGCAAATCTTTTATGATAGCTCACAGCTCTTCCAAAACCCATTCCCCTTCCCGTTATCTGTCCACACCTACTAACCCTCTTTTAGGCCGAAGGCTGGTTGCAGGTAGAATGTGTCGTGCCATACAATGAAGATTCAACAAACTAATGACAGATTTTTTTCATCTATAAAAAGCAAATGATAAACAGCTAAATATTGAACAGTTTTCCCAACAGAATGGAAAATCATTATTTGCTGAGAGTTGCTAATGAGAGATGTTATCAATGTGAACGATGACATGGAGTGGGAGGCTGTAGAGTTGCACTGACTTGGGGGGGCAGTAGAGCTGCACTGTCATCTGTAAAATCTACTGCATCACTGGCACACAAGATTGGAACAGTAAATGATATTTAGGTTTTAAATAGGGATCATTTATGTGCTTAAATGCTATTATGATTTTGATGTTGAGTGAAACCACTCAACATCCTTGCCAACTAAACAATCTCGACTAGGCAACACCCAAGTGTGGTAAACAAAAGTGCCAGTTATAGGATCTCAGAAGCATATACAGTCATGGCCGAAATTGTTGGCACCCTTGATATTTCTCCAGGAAATCATGTATTTCTCACGAAACGTATTGCATTAACACATGTTTTGCTATACAATGTTTATTCCCTTTGTGTGTATTGGGACAAAACAAAAAAAGGGAGGAAAGAAAGCAAATTCGACATAATGTCACACAAACCTCCAAAAATGGGCTGGACAAAAGTATTGGCACCCTTTCACAACTGCGGATAAATAAGAATGTTACAAGCATGTGATGCTCCTGTAAACTCACCTGGGGCAAGTAACAGGTGTGGGCAATATAGAAATCACACCTGAAAGCAGATAAAAAGGAGAGACGTTCACTTAACCTTTGCATTGTGTGTCTGTCTGTGCCACACTAAGCATGGACAACAGAAAGAGGAGACGAGAACTGTCTGAGGACCTGAGAACCAAAATTGTGGCAAAATATCAACAATCTCAAGGTTACAAGTCCATCTCCAGAGAACTAGATTTGCCTTTGTCCACAGTGCGCAACATTATCAAGAAGTTTGCAACCCATGGCACTGTAGCTAATCTCCCTGGTCGTGGACGGATGAGGAAAATTGATGAAAGATTGCAACGCGAATAGTCCGGATGGTGGATAAGCAGCCCCAAACATGTTCCAAAGACATTCAAGCTGTCCTGCAGGCTCAGGGAGCATCAGTGTCAGCGCGAACTATCCGTCGACATTTAAATGAAATGAAACGCTATGGCAGGAGACCCAGGAGGACCCCACTGCTGACACAGAGACATAAAAAAGCAAGACTACAGTTTGCCAAAATGTACTTGAGTAAGCCAAAAGCCTTCTGGGAAAACGTCTTGTGGACAGATGAGACCAAGATAGAGCTTTTCGGTAAAGCACATCATTCTACTGTTTACCGAAAACGGAATGAGGCCTACAAAGAACAAAACACAGTACCTACGGTAAAATATGGTGGAGGTTCAATGATGTTTTGGGGTTGTTTTGCTGCCTCTGGCACTGGGTGCCTTGACTGTGTGCAAGGCATCATGAAATCTGAGGATTACCAAAGGATTTTGGGTCGCACTGTAGGGCCCAGTGTCAGAAAGCTGGGTTTGCGTCCAAGATCCTGGGTCTTCCAGCAGGACAATGACCCCAAACATACGTCAAAAAGCACTCAGAAATGGATGGCAAAGAAGCGCTGGAGAGTTCTGAAGTGGCCAGCAATGAGCCCAGATCTAAATCCCATTGAACACCTGTGGAGAGATCTTAAAATTGCTGTTGGGAAAAGGTGTCCTTCCAATAAGAGAGACCTGGAGCTGTTTGCAAAGGAAGAGTGGTCCAAAATTCCGGGTGAGAGGTGTCAGAAGCTTATTGATGGTTATAGGAAGCGACTGATTTCAGTTATGTTTTCCAAAGGGTGTGCAACCAAATATTAAGTTAAGGGTGCCAATACTTTTGTCCAGCCCATTTTTGGGGTTTTGTGTGACATTATGTCATATTTGCTTTTCTGCCTCTGTTTTATATTTGTTCCAATACATACAAAGGGAATAAACATGTGTATAGCAAAACATGTGTTAATGCAATACCTTTTTTGTGTGAAATACTTGATTT